AAAATTCTTCCTTGGAGGCGCTGATCAGGGAATCGAGGATAACGCAATGGGAGAAATCAAAAGAGGTCAAACTCGACAGCATCGAGTTTTACCCTAGTTTTGGCCCAGAGGCTATTTATTAGTAATTTAACCAATTATATTTTTTGTTTTTTTATTTATTATAAATCCATTAATCAACAAATATATTAAAACATCTATTAAAGAATTAATTAAAAAAATAAATAATTCCTTTTTTTTGCTTACTTTTAGCCATTTTATATAGGGATATATAAAGACAAAATCATGGTAGATTTGACTTGACTCCAAAAAACATGTCAAGAAAAAAAATGTGAATCACATCATGTGATGCATCTCTTGATTAGTTAAGGTAAGATCTCGAATACTAAAAAATATGAGTCTCTCACATGTCAGCGTATTAGAATATGTAAACACATCTCACACGTCTCGAGATATTAGAATATGACCAACTAGCTTTGAAAGAGTATATTTAATTCTAAGTCTTAAAAAATCATATTAGTAATTAAGAAAGGACTAGGTTGATATTTTGGTTATAAAAATTGTATAACTTAAATTTGAACTTAAGAATATATTTTATTTTTTTGGTAAGCTAACTTAAGAATTTTTTATTAGTAAAAAAATTGTTATGCTAACGTAAATTTTCATTAAAGTTTATGAGTTTATTTTGTCTTTAAAATAGAACTTTTCTCACCTTACTTTCTTATTAGAAAATAAAGATGAAAGGGATACAGTAGAAGACACCGAGGCTTAATTATAGTCCAAGTGTTCATTACTTGAAAATTTCCGTATCAATAAAAAAAAAGGCACTTAAAAAAAAAAAACTTTGACATGGTATTTTTATAAATTTTGCTATGAAATTAGTTCTCCAAACATATTATATTTGATTATTAATTAATCCTCTTTCTAAAGTCCTGCAAGTTTAGTACTATAACAAACTCTTATTATCAAATAAAAAGAGACAGAGAAAGAGAGCGTAAGCTGTCACCAATGTTATAAAAATCGACTTGGTTATCAAATCGGTTGGAATGTTAGGTTATTGGGTCACTGGTTCAACCGCATGATCCGAATATATATATATATATATATACATATATATATACTTTTAAATTTTAATTTGGGATACAAGTTATAATTTCTTATTTTAAATTAAAATAAACATGAACATAATACCATTAATAAATAAAAATAAAGGTGCACACATGTGAATAGAAGAAAAAATGATACATGAAAAAATGATACATAAAAGATTTCAAAATTATTAAATTTTTCTTTTGGGACTGCAAGAAGAGTGAAGTTAGATTTGACCCGTTGAGTTCAAAAAAGATTGAACCGACCCATATTTCCAAAACCCTAATAGGGGTGGCAAAACGGGTCGGCCCGCCCCGACCCGCTCCCAACCCGCCAAAAGTGGGTTGACCCGCTCCGCCCCGCTTCTTGAAATTAGGTTGAAAACCCCAACCCGCCCCGTTTTATTGTGGGTTGATGGGTTGGCGGGTCAACCTGTTTAAAAAATAAAAATAATTAAAAATAAAAAATAAATTATATTTTATTAATATTATAATATTACTTATTTTCATATCACATTTTTCTTAGTTTTTTTCTAATCTTAAGTCTAAATGTACGCTAATATTTAGTCAGATATTCTTTACAAACTTATTTTTATCTCCATACATAAATTACCTTTGTCATAAATAAAGTTTTTCTTCTATATTTTTTTCTATAGAGTACTAAGATAACAAAAAATTAGATATCACAAAAGCTTAAAAACAAATAAAACACTACTTAATAGTAAAATAAAAAATAAAAAAATTGACCCGGCGGGCCAACCCGACCCGCCGCCAACCCGATTTTACCCACAATCCAACGGGGCGGATTGAGGCGGGTTGGTGAGTTGAAATATGTAACCCAACCCGCCCCGTTTTGGCGGGTTAGCGGGTTGACCCGTCGGGTTCAACCCATATTGCCACCTCTAAACCCTAATATTCACATTTAACATTTCCTTCCAATCTCAGTTAGAAAAAAACAGTATCCGCCTCTGTTGATTTTTCGCTAGTTTTAGCCAAAACTATAAACGAAACTAGCATATAAATGGTTTTCGCATGTCACTAACTCGCGAAATCCAGCCGCCTCTGTCTCATAAACCCTGATATGGTTTTTTTTATTAGTCCTCTTGTCTGTTTTCTGGTTTTCTCTCTCTTGGTTTCGTTTCTGGCTTCGTTACTGATTTTTTTTGTTTCTTAAGGTTGTGCCTTCGATCTGTGTCAAAAAAATACATAGCTGTCACTACTTATGTTATTGATAAGGGAATATCCCGAGTGTTTTTTGAACCGGTAGGTCACCGATTTTAGCAAAACTCGACAGGGTCGCACAAGTCAAACCGGTTCACTTGCAATCAGATCCAATATGCTACCTGGATTGGTCACATGACCGATTTACCGATTTTCGGGTTGAACCGGCCGGTCCGTTTTTACAACATTGGTTGTCGCTACTCCTAGGATGTGCATGTAAGCTGTCATTTTAAAATTCCTGAATGTATCCACACAAAAAAAGAGTGTAAGTGAATGTTTACATGCAATATGTACATGCGTGCATTTTTTCCTTTTTGCATGTGACAGATTGGAGTCAAATTCAAATGATAATTGGTTCTTTTAGGTAACACGAGGTCGTGTGGGAATATTTCGTATACTCAAATTGGCATGTGATGGATTCGAGCGAAAACCAAATGATAATTGATTCTCTTAGGTAACATGAGATCATGTGAGATGATCTTAACTGCTCAAATATATCAACGGTATGGTAGAATGCATTAAGATAAAATGTGATAAAAGAATAATTGTTGATTTATATTTGCATGACTGAGATCCTTTCACATAACCTCATATCATGTGAGATAATTCATTCCCAAAATCAAATAGAGCAATCACAATAAAATAGTGAGATGAGTAATAGGGCATCAAAATCATCACATTTGTCCCATCCAATTAATCAAGAAGCACAACGAAGAACATATTCATACTTTTTTACACTTCTCGATAAATATAATCTATTTTGTTATTCTAAGTGGTTATTCTAATGGGTCTCTTTCACTTATATATTTAGGGCCTGTTTGGTGTGATGTATAAGACTTGATAATACAAGCTTATACTATACGTTATGATATTTTTAGTTGTTTGGTGTGACCATCGTATAATATAAGCTTATACAACAGAGTCCTTAATACATCAAAATAATGTATAACTTAATCAAGTCTGAGGAGGTGGAATTAGGCCTGATAAAGAGTTAATGTATTAACATCGCTAACTGGTGCAATTCTCAAAAATTAATATATTATTTTATTATTAATATATTAAAACAAAATATTTTTCAATATACTAATTTTTAAAATATTGTTTTTTTTTTATTTTTATAAAAAGTAATATTTTTTAGACATGCTGATCAATTGATTTTTATAAAAATTAATATCATATGACATATTTGGAAGAATTATATAAATTCTTTATTAAAAGGTATTTTTGTTAAAAATATTTATTTTTATCCTATCTAGTATTATATAGTACATTACCAAACTTTGGATCATATTATCTTATACAATGTATTATCTTATACAATATCATGCCAAACGCTAGATAGTGTTAAAATCTAATCAGGCCTTGGCCTTATACTATCAGTTCTTATTCTATACTATGCACCAAACATGCCCTTGTTGCTTACTCCATTCTCAACCGATTCAAAACTCTATCACTCACGCTTGAATTATCAATGCTATTGTTGGGCAGTAGTCTGGGGAGCCTATGGTAGGGTGAGAACAACCATCAAATGGGCTAAGCAACAAACCCACCACAATAAGCGGGCTCAAAATCTTAACCAAAAATTTTAAGGCGTTAGATTTATGGGTTCTTTCACTTATATGGTTCTCAGTTATAGTTCATTTCAAATCAATGCGGGGCTTTATAACTCACATTTGGAATCCCAACATTATCCCCTTCAAATGAGTCTCAAGCCCACATTCGCTCCCCCTCAAGCGAAAACTTCTTCAAGTATTAATGAGGTCATATGCTCATTTGAGAACTCTCATTTTAGCTTCATTTTTTGGCTTCATTTAAGCATAAGTTAAGCTAAATATAATTTTACAAAAGCACTTATTTTAAAAAGAGTTTTTTTTAATGAAAAAAAAGCTAAAAGCTTCCAAAAAGAGTTTTTTTTTAAAAAAAAATATATGACAATTTTTTGGAATTCTCATATTTATTTTTTAATTATATCCTTATTCTAAACTTTTATTTATGAAGTTTATGATTTACACTTATAATTAACTCAATTAACAAATTATTTCATTTTTCTCCTTTCAAAATCCTAATAAGAACTTTATACAATTATGAAACAACTTTTAGCTTTACTTTTTAAGCTATTTTTTTGTAACTTTAACTTAAAAGTAACGATTAACTTCAAAAAATGATGTACCAAACATCAACACTTGACTATACTCGTTAAGTTCTTGGCTAACATGACATAGGTTTTTATGAAGACTTGACTACACTTATCAAGTCTTTGGCTCCACATCATACGTTTAGCTGGTCTATCAAACTTGAAAGTTAACCACTATATCCAAATACTCGATTCACATAAGTCAATAAATCATGGACTTTGATACCACTATTAAGCAGTGATCTAATAAAACCCATAATAAGAGGAGAACTCTCATCAAATAGACTAAGCGACAATTCCACCACAATAAGTGGACTCGGATACAACATTTAACCTGAAAACTTAAGACACTTACTACTTAAATTGTAATGTATTTTTGGCAAGTTCATATATCAACTACTCAAATGTATATGTTTATGTTAAGGTAGTGGAGTGACACAAACAAATAGTAACGAGACGTGGGCCTGCAATTAAGTTTGGCACCTTAAGGAAGCCCAGCCCGGAGTGCGAGAGGAAGGGCCAGCGAGATTGAACTTGAAGGGGTATAATAGATAGAAGTGGAAGCAAGAGTAGGTTTTGGTTTTGTGGCAATAGCAATGGCGCCGAAGCAGAGAACAGCGAGAGTAAGCAGAAACCCCGAATTGATAAGGGGAATTGGAAAATACTCAAGGTCGAAGATGTACCATAAGAGAGGTATCTGGGCCATTAAGGCTAAGAACGGCGGCGTTTTCCCTCGCCACGATCCCAACCCTAAGCCTCAAGCTCCACCTGAGAAACCCTCCAAGTTCTACCCTGCTGATGATGTCAAGAAGCCTCTTGTCAACAAGCACAAGCCCAAACCCACTAAGCTCAGGTCACTACCAATCCCACATTTTTGTATGAGTTTTTCCATATTTATTAAATGTGAACAATGGTGGTGCGTATTAATGTCTTTACATTGATCTGAAAAATAGATGATCTAGATTGTCGATGTTAGATAGTATTTAGTCCCATTTATTTCATTTTACATTGTATCTTGACTTATTGTTAATATAGAGCTTATGTGAATGAATTGATTTTATATGGTGTCTGTTTTTGTTTTCAGGGCTAGCATTACTCCCGGGACAGTGCTGATTATTCTTGCTGGCAGGTTTAAGGGAAAAAGAGTTGTCTTTCTGAAGCAGCTTCCTTCTGGGTTGCTTCTCGTAACCGGTAACTCTTGTCAATCTTTCTGTTTAATGAGATTTTTTTGAATTGTTGTTTTTTTAAATAACCATTGTTGTTCAAATTTCCTTTTATGTTATTGCTTGAGGTGTATAGTAGATATTGTGCTGTTTCAACTTATACGCAATATTGCCTCTTGTTATGTTGCTTCTTGTTATTGGTAGGTTTAAATGAGTTTTTTTGCATGATAATCATTGTTGATGAACGATTGATTGAATTTTATTGCTATGTTGTTCTCTTTTGACCTGTGATAAATAATTGGTATCGAAATGCTGCCTCACGTTTTATTGCTTGAATGGATTATGCTGCTGTTTCAATACATGCTCAATAATGATTGTGTTTCTGTGTGTGTGGAAATGCTAGAGGGTGTGTTTGAAGTCTACTTTCACTTTAGCTTTAGATACCTATTGATTTTGATTTTGAAGGCACGAGACTCTTCCTTTTTAAGATGTACTTCACTCTCCACTCATCTCTGGCCGGTCTTCATATGCTTCTTTCTCTCCATTTCAGGTCCTTTCAAGGTCAATGGAGTTCCTTTGAGACGACTGAATCAGTCATATGTTATTGGCACGTCAACCAAAGTAGATGTTTCTGCAGTTAATGTGGATAAATTCGATGACAAGTACTTCTCAAAGGAAGTCCAGAAAAAGAACAAGAAGGGAGAAGGCGAGTTCTTTGAGGCAGAGAAGGAGGTTAGTTTGTCAAATTTTCTTGTTTTGTTGATTTAACTTTTGTTGTTGTATCAGCTGCTCATGTTTGCTGACCTGTGCTATTTGTTCCCATTGTAGGAGAAAAAAGAGCTCCCGCAGCAGAAGAAAGATGACCAAAAGACTGTGGATTCCGCTTTGATCAAAGCCATTGAGAGTGTTCCAGAATTGAAGGCTTACCTTGGTGCAAGGTTTTCATTGAAGGGGGGCATGAAGCCTCACGAGCTAGTCTTCTAGAGGAAATAAGAGTCTTCGAATCTTTTTCTATATTGTTTTTTTTTTTTTGAACTTGGACCTAATAGTTGTATTCATCTACCTTTCTTGGTGATAGACATCTGAAGAACGTGATTTATTTTTTGCCAAATTGCTCCAGGGTTTTTCCTTCCTTCAATTTTGCTCTTGTGAACTAATTGATTTTATGATTTTGAGGCTTTAATAACAAGTGAAGAGTAGTTGCAAACCGAAAAAAGGATAGAGGATCTTCCTTTTGGTGGTTGCAATATGTTTTCATTTTCTTGTTGCGGAGTAAGTATAATGAATCATGCTATAATAAAGAATTGTTTTAACAGATGGAGGTGATTTGTGCTGGTTGGTTTCCTGATCAACACAATATACTTCAATGTTTTACTATCAAAACATTCGAGTGGACGCCAACTGATAACAATAATATTGTATATATGAACCTTAGGCCATATATTGAAGGATTAATAGTGACATGACCTTTATCAATACACTAATGAAATTAAAATTTACTTCTATACAAGATTTATTTGGCCTTGCACACATTAACGTTACTCACGGTCCTTATAATTGTTGGGACTCGTGTCTATCGATTTTGAATTTTTTAAAATTAAAATTAATTCTTTTGTTTAGATGTCTATTTTTTATTTGATTATTTTTAAAACCTGTTTTTCATAATATGACTAGTCCGATTAACTTGTTTTATATATTTTTGACTCTTAATTTCAAACCACTACAACTGCTGCCACTTCAATTACCATTGCGACACCATAATTATTGTTAACTTTTTGTTTTTGTTTTTGGATATTATACATCAATTTATTGATTACAAGCTAATCTGATTCAAGGTCGTAGGATCATATGAGCAGTAAAGCTTTTCTTACCAAGATTTTTTTTTTTTGGTACATTGCCAGGAGGTATCCCCATTCAACCTTCTCCGGGCACCATGCCCTCGGGGTACGGCCCGTTTGGGCTAGCCCCTCATTGTAACAGTGGGTGCACTAAGCTTCGCAAGCGGAGAAAGGACGAGACTAATCCCCCAACCGAAGATTTTTTAGCTTATCCTCTGGCCTCCAAAGATTTTCGAAGAAACTGCTTGAGGCAGGGTTTGATCCCTGTACCAAACAATCCCTTGGGAGCTCAGCTGCCAATGAGCTACCCTTGGGGGTTTTCTTACGGAGATTTAACCCAACTGCATTGCAGTAATTCAAACTCGAAATCACTAATTAAGTTGGAACAATTTCTTACGGGTCAATCCACATGCTTGGGATGGTGGTGCCACATGCAAAATTTAGTCTCAAATCAAATATTTTTTTTTTGGTTTCATTTTTGTGAAATGTGTTTTTTAGGAAAAAAATAAGAGTAGAATCAAATATGTGGGACGTGTACTTTTTTGTTCTGTTTTTGTTCGCTCAAATTGATTTAATGTCATCAGGCAGCTGGTAATGTTTTGGGTCAAAAGAAGACTAAAGCCCAAAGAACTTTCAAGCTCGGTTATTTCGGGCCTAGCCAACCCATAATAAGGAATGGCCCATATCTGTTATAACTCGAGAATCGAATACTCTACCCTAGGTCCCACCGTAAGCTTTTCTGCATATTTCTTCTAGCACCTTCTTCCCTGTCTTTCGCTTCCCCAGAGTTCGACAAGGCAACGCTGTAACAATTAACAGCTGCAAAGTTCTCCAAGTTCATTCTCACTTCACTTCCCCACAGGAGTGATCGGAATATATTTTTCGTTTCGTCTGAGCTTATCTTTCTTTAACAATGTCGACGGTGATGCAGAAAATCAAAGACATCGAAGACGAGGTATACATGCTTTGCCTCAAAATCAAATGCTGCTTCATTCAATTCTATTATGAATATAATATAGAGGAATTGTTGTAGACATGCGATTTATTCAACTGAAACATTAACCTTTTCGACATCAGTTTTTTTTTTTTTTTCATTTCATTTCATTTCTTGTAATTCTCAATTTACTAGCATTTGATTACGACTGACGATTTCTCTCTCCCTCTCTTTAACTATTTCTTCAATTATTATTTCCATATGTTCTTATCTATAATGAGAAATGCTTCATTTACTTCTTTTTGTGTAGTTCTTTTCCGTATCTCAGGACATATGGTGTTTGATACGTAGCCAAAACATTATATGTTATATACTGATTGTTTTGATGCAGTATCTGCAAACTTTTTTTCTGTCATTTAGTTATTTTTTTCAGCATGATCATGGTAATTTGTATTTTGCAGATGGCAAGGACTCAAAAGAACAAGGCTACAGCTCATCATTTGGGCCTGCTGAAGGTAAACTTATACATTTTGTTTGATTATTGGGGGTAAAAAAAGAGGTCAATTATATTAATAACCGGTGTGTTATTTTTTTTTTGGTTGGTTGATTGCAAGTGTTTCAGCTTTATTTGAGGTTATTTCTTGAAGACAATGGGTGTATATATATATATATATATATATGGAAAAAATGTTTTTCCTATAATAAGACATATAGTTCTCTCTCTTAATCCCAAACCCCAAAACTATGTCGTTTTTCGGGTTGGGAGAATTAATGAAGGATATTTTAAAAAAATTGTTTGTTTCTTTGTTTTATGAATTTTACCAAAACACCCTTCATTAATTCCCCCAACCCTTAAAACAACGTAGTTTTGGGGTTACTGGAGATAATTTGATCTCGGAAAAACGATAAACCCTATATACATATATTTTAATGTTAAATCTTATAGAAAAATGGGTGTTTTGTTATTCTGCTTCTATGTGGAATCAACCTTCCATTCGTATATATTTTCTTATTAGAACTTCGTTCGTTGTTGCCCCGCTTTTTTGAGTTTTTTTCAGTTCCTCTTTCGTTTACTCTTTTCTGTTGCTATTTTGTTGAGGAGTTGTTCATTATTAGCAACTCTGTGGTTCCAGGCTAAACTTGCAAAGCTGCGGAGGGAACTCCTTACACCTTCATCAAAAGGAGGTGGAGGTGCTGGTGAAGGTTTTGATGTTACTAAAAGTGGGGATTCAAGAGTTGGTCTCGTGGGCTTCCCTTCAGTTGGAAAATCTACTCTGCTGAATAAGTTGACTGGGACATTTTCAGAGGTATGGAAGTATTCCAGGTCTCATGCATTTTCTTCTTTAATATAGATATATTCTAGGCCAATCTTTTATATCCTTTCTGTGTTTTATAAAGTGAATTTGATTCAGTGGAGCCCGAGGAAGTGCAGCATTTGAACAAGAAAAAGCAAATGTGAACCTAAAGAGATACTTAATGCGTTGCAATCTGGACATTGATCGATCTTTATGCTTCCCAGCAGCTATACAATCCGAGTCGGCTACTAGTACCTATTAAGTTAAGTTAGAAAGAAGATAAGGCTATGGCGATAGTAGGAAAAAGCTTGTGAGAAATTAAAAAGGCCACTGGACATGTGGCTAAAATATTGAAGTACTATAGTGCTAAATCCTTCTTAGGAATAACCATCTCCTGAAGTAGTGAACAATAATCAACCCAAAATGATAGAAGTTGGAAGAAACAGACAATTGATATTGATAATCACTGAACCAGAAATGGATTCAGCCAAACTACATGGGGTAACAGAATTCAACTACAGATTACATCCCAAATAGAATGACAGAAAAATAAAAGAATAACACAAGAAGGAAATTATAGATAATGGATGCAATTCTAGAGGCACCCTTCTCTCCCAAGTTCCTAGCACAATCCCTACTAATTGCCTGCTTTCTGCCTTCCTTTCATCTCTACTTATCATCCTTCTTCAGCTTCACCTTTCCCATGCCTCCGTAACCAATTTTCCTCTACACCCACTTCTGGAATATTCTCTCCTAACTAACTGTTTTGCTGAGTCAGCAATTGAGAGGTGTGAATGTCCTATGATGCTTCCTACAATTCACCTTTACAATTGGTATCTGATCCAATTTCTATTACCCAGACTCCAGAGCAGTAAGGATAACATTGTGAGGCCTCTAACTTCTTACCATAATTTCTCTTTGTGGAAGGAAACTTCATTACTATTACTACATTTAGAAGTAGCATTTCTACCATTCTGTCCATCAATTCTATCATCAATTTCACTCCTACATGTTATTTCTGATCATTATGTACAAAAATTAGTTATTTAATATTTTTCTTGAGTTCTAGGTAAATTAAAATGTTATATACTGCCGGAAAACAAGCATTCTAGTAGATTTGTATACATGAACAACTAGAATTAATGTTTATTTGAACTGCTCTTGTATTTTGCATCATTGTCCATGTGGACAGTATTTTATTTGTTTGGATAGCAAGTGAACGTACTCTGAATTAGTGATATTATTCTTTTTTTGTGGGTTTTCTGGTTCATAGTGAAACAATATCTGGCTCCCTCCCTACTGCTCGTAGATCAAAAGTTATATTTGTAAACCTTGGGCTTTCAAAGCATGTCTTGGGTTCTTGGCTTGACTATGTGAAGAATTTGTTGTCTACAGATTTATACCTTGTGCTGGATGTATTTTTTCTCATGTTATGGTACCACCTGATCTATGTGGTTTTGATTATCTTTTTGGTTTAGTTGATAAGGATGATGGATTGCATAAAATATCCTTTTGATATAGGATGAAGCTATCAACCTTTACATTTTTTTTATGCAGTATTTCTTTCTTTAGTTTCTTTTTTCCCACCTTCTTGGAAGGGAGATTAACAACAGAAGTTCAAGCTCACTATTTTTCTTTTAGATAATGCAACAGAGGTTATTCATTGTGTTTATTAAGTAATCAACCATCTTGTGCATAAAGGATAATTTTCCGTTTGCATTTGGTTTGGTTGGTGGGCAACATAACAATTTTCTATTCTGAACTATCTAATTTGATTTTTACTTATTTTGGTTTGTAGGTTGCTTCCTATGAGTTTACTACCTTAACTTGCATCCCAGGTGTGATCACATATCGTGGAGCTAAAATTCAGGTACCACCACGTACGCAAGCTATATGTTGATGAATTTATCACCTTCTTACTATGGGCAAGATATTCTGCTCGTGGATGGAAAAACTTGGTATACTTAAAGCTAAATTTAATTGTACCTCTTTCTGATGATGATAGTTGAGAGAAGATTGAACGATATGTAAATGCTTCCGTTCAATGTTGATATCTTCCAACTATCAGCTGCACGTGTTCTCAGTTTTTAAGGAGTATCTTTTGGAAATTGATATATGGGTTTTAGTGCATTTTATTTATCTTCGTCATTTTTTTCATTTTTCTCCTTTAGAATTGGCTTATTAAATTGAGTTGCAACATTATGTTGGTTGTTGTACTGGCAATCCCTAGATGACTTAAACAAAAGAGATAAACACCTAAAATTGATTAAAGCTTTGTTTTGTGTCACTTGGTTGTTTCTGTTGATAGTTTTGTCCACATTAAAGATGAATATATTTGTAGTTTTATTTTGATTGTCCAAATTAAAAATTTGGGAATATCTCTTTAAGGTTCCTAATGTTTACACAATCTAGTCCTGTTTTTATTGTCAAGTTGAACAAAAAAATATTTTCTAGATTAAGTCTCTACAACTATGTACAGGTATTTCTTTTGCAGATATTTTTTTTCTAATTTAGGCATTAAAGGATTAATATTAACTTTATTCTCTAAATATATCACGTGCGACAAGATTGTCCCATTTATATTGTTTGCTTCAAAATGAAAAATTCATCCCGTAAAATTTGTATTAAATTAGGTAGGACTGTATGAATAATTTTCTGCAGTTGCAATTAATCATCATACAATTTATGATGTTATAACTTGATGCATATTTAAGTTATATTCAATTTTGTTTGGCAGTTACTGGATCTCCCTGGAATTATAGAGGGTGCTAAGGATGGAAAGGGTAGAGGAAGACAGGTAACAAAAAAAATATAATAAGCTCTTATCATTGTGTAACTACATTTGGAATCATTTGTGTCAAGAAAATTGAATATAACTTTAATGTCATTGTGTAACTACATTTGGATCATTTGTGTCAAGCATGTCTTTTGTATATAAAGTCAGCTATGCAATCAAAGTTCCTTGTGAATCTTTTATCAATTTTTTTTTAAAAAGAGAGAAAAGTTCCTTGTGAATTTTAAAAAATGTTTCTCTCCATCTTGTGCTGCTGAAATGAGATCCATGCATATGTAGAGAAATTATGGTTTCTTGTTTTGTCATAATCAGGTGGGTTTTTGTTTTTTGTTTTTTGGGGGTGGTTGTGGATTCCTCAAAGAAAACTTACATTCGCTTTATACATGATTATTAAGTGTTTGGGAGTTTGACACGCAGGTTCTACTCTTTAATTTTTGTTCCATCAAGTTTCTGTTAGAGCTATATGCTATCTTCCTTGTAATATATTTAATATTTACTTATAAAAAGAACCTTACATGATAATGCTATAGCTTTGAAGTTCTGTAAATATTCACAATGCACTTTCTTCTTTCATACCTTATTCACCCACAGACAACCACTTATATATTTTGTTTTATATACTGTTTTGCAAATGCAGGTTATTAGTACTGCAAGGACATGCAATTGCATTTTAATTGTTCTGGATGCAATAAAACCAATAACCCATAAGCGTCTTATAGAAAAAGAGCTAGAGGGATTTGGTATAAGGTAAGATGTAATATTGTTTATTTGCTATGTTTGTATGTCGTGTTGCCAATTGTCTGGCCATGTGTAGGAATCTCCACTTGCATTTTTTTTTCTCACTGTATGCAGTAGTCTACACTTGAATAAATAGTTCAACTTTTTCATGCCCTGTTTAAAATATACTTCTCAATGTAGCATGAATATGATGAATGAAGATTATAGTGGTTAGGCTCTTGACTCTAAAAGTGAGTATTTCTTGCTATTGGTTGATGGCAGCAGTAGCACCTATAGGTCTGGAGCAACTTTGACTTGATTTGGGTTTTGGTGAAGTGGGGATCATGCAATGAAGTATGATTCTGAGGGATAATTCAATCTTGGGGAAGCTTGCTTCTTCCTGGGTCTTTGTGGAAGCAGCCCCTTATGAATCAGACTTATTATTTCAAGTTTCAATAACCTTGTCTGTTTTATAGAAAACATATTAACCAAAATTGTAGTGTTACCAACACTGGTGAACTTGTTAGTAGTCTCATAGAATCTGTTGGGCATCCTACTCTGTTGGGATGGAAGAGAAGGAAGGGATCATATACCCACATAAGCAAAGAGGAAAGTGACTGCATGTAACCACCTGCTTCTGTGGCAGGTTGGCCAGGATCTGCAGGGAGAGGAATTTGGTTATGGAGAAAATTTGGTTATATATGTTATGGGCTTTATTTTCTTTGGCTGTTATGCCATTCAGATAATCAAAATTATATGTATATATTTTGATGTATTTCAATCTGGCTTTTATTTTCTTTTCTTTGTAGCAATTTGTTTCTTTTATCAATTAAATTTATTTTCTGACCGCAGGTTAAACAAAGAGCCACCAAATCTGACTTTTAGGAGGAAAGATAAGGGTGGAATCAATCTCACCTCGACTGCTACCAACACAAATTTGGATCTTGACACTGTGAAGGCTATATGTAGTGAGTACAGAATTCACAACGCAGATATTACTCTCAGGTATGATGCCACTGCGGATGACCTTATAGATGTCATTGAGGGCAGTAGAGTATACATTCCTTGCATCTACGTTGTGAACAAGATTGATCAGATCACACTTGAGGAACTGGAGATCTTGGATAAGCTACCTCATTACTGCCCAATCAGGTGATTCTTCCAATCATTGGTCTTACTATTACCTCAATCCTTTTCCACCCTTTTAAACAAAAGAAAATCATCATCATAATTTTTGAGATCCTTGTGAAGGCACTTAGAGGTTATTATTTATTTTTTTCTCAGTTGTTTTGAGGGATTTCATTTTGGGGTATTTTCTTGCATCTCCCACTTGACAAAAAGAACTGGAGATTTCTACTGTATTATTGTTGTGTTGTTTTTTCTAGTATCTTTTATTGCCTTTGCTTTGGTTCCGTTGACTATAGTTGCTGGATAGGCTCCAATTAATCCTTCGTACCCATGCACAGAAACTCAATAGTGTTTTTTTTTTTTTTTTTTCTGTTGGATGATCGTCCTTTTGCATTGCATTTAGTATATTTTAGTCCAAAGTTGTCACACAGATACTGTACGAAGTATCTATGTTTGAGAGCAAATTTATTTAGGCTGTGCAAATAAAAGGGGAAAGTCACTGTATGACTTGCACCCGTCATATTTTCTCCCATTTCCATTGTTTGTCGTGACTTTTGTAATAATGAATTTACAAAGTTGTTTTATATGTAAAATTGTGTAATTTTCTAACTATTCTTCAGTGCGCACCTGGAGTGGAACCTTGATGGTCTTCTGGAGAAAATTTGGGAATATCTCAGTTTAACACGTATTTATACTAAACCTAAAGGTATGAATCCTGATTATGAAGATCCAGTAATATTGTCGTCTAAGAAGACAACAGTTGAGGACTTCTGCACTCGCATTCACAAGGACATGCTTAAACAGTTTAAGTAGTGAGTACCTTCTCCCAAAACTTAACCTTAATTCCTTCATAATGTTGAGCAGTTTATCCATGTTTGCATTAATGAGGAGCAATATATATGAAGATTAACTTTGGTTTTTCAACTGTAAGCTCTGAATTGCTGTTAGTTTTAAGGCAATTATCTCTTGCTCTGTGGTCTGTGCTCATCTGAACTTACTGTATAAACTTATAGAATGGATCTCTAGTTTGATGACTGAACTTAGTTTGGGGCAAAGTGGCATTTTGTTCTTTGAAAAAAGAAGAAGCTTAGAGTTAATAAATTCCCCTGCTCTCCCGCACCCAACAATTTTTTTTTTTTTTTCCTTACCTTCATTCAAGGCTTACATTTACCAAATTATGCAGTGCTCTGGTCTGGGGTTCAAGTGCAAAACACAAGCCTCAAAGAGTTGGAAAGGTTGATGCTGTACTCAATTTACTCTATTCTCTTCTTCATCCTCCTTCCTAGTTCTGTATTTCGACTTTTATTTTTTCTTCTCCCTCATTAGTGAAGTTGTGATGTACTAAGTGGAATACATTGTTACACACCAGGAGCATGAACTTGAAGATGAAGACGTCGTTCAGATTATCAAAAAAGTATAATTTGTTGTAGTAAGGAGGATCGAAGATGATATCTTGTGAAAACCGATCAGAATGCCTGCCCGAGATACTAGAGGATGTTTTTTGAGTAGAATCAAAGATCTCCAGGGTTGTTGGATGACTAGATCATACTCCAATTACTTGTCTTTTTACGGTTGGGGGTTACGTAGAAGATATTAAAGTTCTATTCGTAGTTAAACAATTTATTGTCAAGGGACACTGTTTGTCACGTTAGATTTGGAAATGATGTGTCTTGTGGGGTATACATGTCTAAAAGAATTAATGGATGATAATCAGGGTTGTTCTTGTAAGCATTAGTAGGGTTTGCTAGATATATACAATTCAGGTGGATATGTTGGTATGCCTATGCTGGACATCTTAACAAAATAATGGCATGGGTTTGGTACAGCATTTACATAAAATTTATTGATATGCTAAAATTATCTTAAATAAAATCCTCTTGGTTGTCCTAACAGTTCCGCTTGGCAGCCTGGACTACTGTGATTTTGGTTGATACAACTGATAAGTTGCAGGTAGAAGCGTTAGCTGACAGACCAATTGATTTCCTCGTTTAGCATTGGAAGCCAAGCGGCGGGCAAGTCTTCAATTGAATAAGAATGCTTAGATGAGGATTTTTTTTTTTTTTTTTTTAATCAAAGGCTCGTAGTATTGAAGAGAGAGAAAAAAATACAATCCAAACGACCTACAATGCTTAGATGAAGTTAGATCAGTGCTTTTGTTTTGATACATTTTAGAACTATAAATCAGTACTCTGTTGCTGTAACAAACAGAAGAGGTTAGCCAGAATATCTTGAGTCAATGATGCCATTTGGGTTTGATAACAATTACGGAAACGTGCGGGGAAAATCTTACCATTACCTACTCCTTGTTTGATGGTTTTAAAATCAATCTTTGAAATCAAGCACTCTGCAACCTGAATTGCTAATTGAGAGAATTGCTAGTTACCTCAAGTCCCCAAAAAATGTAAGCCATTAACCCAGGTTTAGTTGATGTCTCAGCTAAAGCGGAACTGTATGCTTGGCAGGGGTAACAAGCAACCAACGGCGTCATCACTCTCATCTGTTACACAACTGAATCTCAGTAACATCGGCCACGATAGTGGTGGACCTAATGTGTATGGTCCAATAACCAGCGGAAAGCCGTCTAATAAATGAAACCGAAGTTTGGTATGAATGAAAGGTCGAATAAATGAAACACAAATTGCTAATAACTAGACAGCAAACAAGGTTCTTTGTGAGAAATGGGATTCTGCGGTTACTTTTTGAACAACAGAAATCAATCACCTCTAAAATTGTAAAAGAATGAAACAGTAAAAGAAAATTACAAATCCAAACTAATTTGTAAGTATTCAATTCCAGACTGAATAATTTATTGAAGAATCAAAGAAAAATCATCATATTTTGGAGCTGGTGTGCACCTCATTAGTCCTGAGCGCCATTTACATGTTTACGATCTTTACCTCTACTTAAATACACGAATTTCAAACTACAACATCCATAGAATAAGTAATTGAAGATTAGGGCTTAAAAAAGGTTTGATTTTCTAAATCAGTAATAAGGGGAAAGTAAATATCACCAAGCGCAAAAGCATTATTGTCCCTGTCCTCGATCTTCAGCACACAAGAAAAACGTTGGACTCCCTTGAAAATCAGGCCTTTGCACAACAGTTGAAGTAACTGAGGAAGCTCCTCCTAGTCTGCCAGGGAATAAAAATAAAACCAAAAAGCAATACTTCAGGCACCACAAATATCCTCGTCCAATATTTTTGTGGATCTAGAGAATGAATATGACTTCTAAGTTCAATTAAAGATTATTATTATTTTAATTAGTACAACCGATCACCATATTTTATGGCCCTCTTACCAATGAAATGAATGTAATTGCCCCAAACATTCATTGCATGTGCAGCAACTAGAATTGCGTGTTGCCTTGGTAAGTAGTGTTACATATAAAATAATAAATTCTAAATCCTTCAGCCTAACCACCGTCCTCGCCAGAATTTGCATGGGTCCCACGATATAATTCACTGTAAAGTATAATCTAATAAATATGCATGACTCATACTTTTCATAGGTATAATTGTGACTTTCTGATTTATTGTAATATTTTTTTTTTTTTTAATAATTTGAGTTTGAGTTCATAAATAGTTATTGTTAGGATTTTTTAATTCTATTTATATTCTCTTTATAAACTAAGTGACTTATAACTAATGACGGTGAAATAAATATAGTGCAGACAAGCCGGATGGTGAACTAACTAGGGTAAATCAGTATGTCACTTCTCTCTTTCTCTCTTCATTTGTGATTTGTGATTTGTGTTTGGTTGTCGATTTTCAATACTTTTTTGGGTTGTAAAACATTAACGGCTGCCCCGACCTTAGTTCGGCTTTGTTGATTTTTTATGCTACTAGAACCTCCTGTCCAAGAGGTTTCCTGACGTGTTAGATTGTCTCTTTGTTTTCGACTTGGCCAATTTTTCCACTACATTATTCTTCTCGCTAGCTTCCCTTCAAATCGTTCATTATTATATAAATATATGGTGCGGTTCCTAGAAAGTGTCAACTACAGATTTATGTGCTTTACTTGCTTAAAATATTATTCAATTTTCCGTTTTTCCTCCTTCCAAATTTTTTTAGTTCGTACTGGGTCTGGGCAGACAGAAGATTGTATATGTAAAGTTTAATTTATTCCTTATTTGTGTTTAATCCATCCTGATGAGGAAATGTGAGGCTAGGTTCCTCCAAACACTAGATAATCAAAGAAATAATGAGATTGATATAAATGATTTTTAATGAACGAGTAATGAAAATTTTGATAAGGAAATCTCACTGTCAACTCACATGGTGATTAAAAGTTGTTTTAATCCAAATTGTGGTTTGATCAGTGCCTTTGCTAGGTGGGTAGAGACGGGTGATTAGTGTTATTTGAAATTGTCCACTGTTGCAAAAATGCTCAAGAAAAGAGACAAAGAGAAGACCTCATGTCAATGTTTAAATGCACCTATTAAGTAAAAGATGCATGTACAGACTCATCTTCCCAGCCTGTTAACTATTGTATGAATCAATTTGAATTAACTTTTCTCATAACAACAAACCAAAAGAAAAATCACTCATCAATTTTCACTAACAGCAACAACTATCAAGTAATAACCATGCTGACCAGTCCACCATATTAACTGATAACAAAAGATTTTTTTTTGCATAAATTATAATAGTATTCTTGAGTGCCTTTAAATAGCAGCAAACAAAATACAGAATAACAAAGCTAGCCAGGAATCTTACAGTTGGAGAGTTGGTTTGGTGGTAATGGGGGTGCTGGTGATCATTGTGGCCAGTGTTTACATTGTTATTGGTAGAAGCCATCAGTTCCTCTTCATTGCCAAGACTTGCCCTCGAAATATTTGTTTTGTTTTGCTTCCTCGTTTCTCGAATTTTTGAGAAATCCAGTGAGTAATCTGGTACTTGGCCCTTCTGATCCCAGTCCCCAAACTGTGGCACTGATAACCACGGAGCATTTTTCTACATTGAAAATATTTATAGGTTAGACAGCTTATCACAATGAGGAATTCGGTTATCGATTCGCTTTAGAATTGGATTTATGAATAAACTGCAACAGTGACGTAATCGTATCAAAGTTTGAACACAAATCAAATTGGTTAATTAAATTAAACGGAGCTAGAAAGGAAAGAGTATCATCATCATCATAATCGCGTCCACTTACGAAGTAAAACAAAATCAAAAGATCGAGTAACAGGAACTAGGCGCTAGGAATCTCCATCTGCCTATATATTTTCATAGAAATATGATTAGATTGAAAATTAATAAGAGGACTCTGTTCTCTTTGTTTCTCAGTTCAGGTTCATCAACTCCAAGAAATCGAAGCTTGAAATTCTCTCGGAGTGGAATTGCAACCAAACACACAGAAACATCAATTCCAAATAAACACCATAATCATGAAATTCCACTTGATTATTTTTTCCTCGTCTTTCTTAGCAAGCAAACACACAGTATCGTGCAAGGAAATAGCGCACACGTTTAGAGAGAGAGAGAGAGAGAGAGAGAGAGGGAGGGGAAGATACCTCCTTACTTTGCTCCATGAGAGTTATTTCAGATCTTGAGAGTTGAGAAATATGGCAGAGGTTTTCGACTCTACGATTCTTATGTGATAATATGAACAGCTGGGGGTGAGTTCAGCATGTCAATTTATAGACGGAAAAAACAAACGCAAAAAACTATGGTGACTATAAAGTGGGTAATGATGAATGTTTTAAGATTTTATATAATGTAAAGTAGTTAGTTTATTAAAACTTAATGGTGAATAAAGTTTTATTCATATCATAATTTTTCTTTAAATAACAGTTACTTTATCTCTTTAAAAATGAGATAAACATAACTCATATATATATATATATATATATATATAAAAAAGAAAGATTCGTTTACAAATTTTTTTTAAATTTTTTTACAAATTACACTATGTTTTCTAAAGAGAATATAGTGTAACAAGTGTTTTCCCGGGAAAACATAGTGTAGTTTGTAAACAAAAAAATTCGTAAATGATATATGTATGTCAGGAAGGATCGATGTCCTTACTTTTATTGGATTTAATTACGAGAATGCCACTCTTTTACGCGCTGGTAGTTGCGTAGTTGGAGTTGTCTGCTTGTAGTACAAAGTATATACAGTATACCAAAAACATTTATTGTTGTGTTGTGGTGCCCGCCCCTTGCTTTTGGTTTTCTAGCTGTCATTACTCTTTCCAGCACTAAATATTCTTCCCCTTTTTGCCCTCTCAAGTCTCAGTGCCAACAACCGTATGTTATGTTACGACGTCTTCCTTTTTTCAATATTATCCTTGAGAACGAAGAAAAATAGCTCAACCTTTTAAAAATTATTGCCATTTTTCAATTTTTGAAGGATGAATGAACAAGAAGATGATCGTCATATGGAATGATTGGTCAATGAAATTGGCATATTTGACTCTTCAATCGGAACAGGAAATTTTATATCAACTGTTTCAAAATTAAATGGACAGTACATTCATGCCTCGACAATGACAGATAATAAAAAAAAGGCACACTTTTTTTTTTAAATACATTAAGGGGCGTTTGTTTCGGGACTTCTCTCAAGTTTGATAGAGAAGTGATGCTTGAATTCTGTATCTTCACGTTTGGTTCGGCTGATTGCTGAAATTTCTCCATCTAAGTGAGTGCCTCATCTTTTTAGGATTGCATGTGATTTCTCTCCAAAAACACTATTGAACATTGTTTCTTGGCGGGTCGTATTGTGGGAGAAAATTCGGATAAGTGAAAAAGAGGAATAATGAGTGACTAATTTGCCCCTCACACGTCACCATTTTTTGTCCAAACTGATACATCAGTCATTCATCTTGCATCTCATTTTTTGAGACCGACCGAAGAAGAAAGAGCGAAGACAAGCCACATGCGCTTGTTGGTCAGGTAATGGTAAAGGTTTTGAACGAAATTTTTATTCGTGTTTGTATACGTGAACTGAGACATCACCATGTATTAATCAAAAAAGATTGTTGTTGAAGACGGAAAGCTACAGCTAATTGCTGAGAAGGAGACAGAAGGAACAGTTTACTGCTTGAACTCGTTTAATGGTAAATTGCTTGCTGCTATTAATCAAAAAATTCAGCTGTACAAGTGGGTGCTCCGGGATGATGGTACCCATGAATTACAGTCTGAATGTGGACATCCTGGACACATCCTAGCACTATATATGCAAACAAAAGGAGATTTTATCGTAGTTGGTGATCTGTTGAAGTCAATTTCCTTGTTAATGTATAAGTTAAGCCTCTGAGTTGTCTTTATGCAGAAGTTTATTGTAAAGGTTGCAGTTTCCCTTTTCAAGCTTGTTGAATAAAGGGTTGTTTGAAATAAGGGTTATTGGGTAATTTAACTAAATTTACCCATCAATATTTTAACTTCAACCAAACACACATTCCAAAATTTTATTTAATTTCCCCGGTAAAATTTTATCCAACCAAACAATTTTTTTTTAACTTTCCTACCAAACTCACTTTCCAACCATTTCCCTATCAATTATATTTCCCTAGTATTCAAAAAATTTCTCCTCAACCAAACGCCCCCTAAAGGAACATTCTTGACCAAAAAATGAAAGGTAAGGGAACAATGGTGTAAAGAACATTAACTTTTAAGATTTTTTTTCTTGAACTTCTTTGGTTTCAATTATTTGAAATCTTCAATTATTATACCAAGATTATACTATTTACACAAAAATCTATATTCTCTCATGTGAAAAAAAAATGACATAAGCATGTGAAAAATCATAACCATATAAAGATGGATAAATAATAATACAGAAAGAGAAAAAATATTATAATAGATAGTTACAAAAGCATAACCGTTGATTTACTTTTCTATGGTTATGATTTTTTTACATGACCATGCCATTTTTTTTTCATATGAGAAGATCCTTTTCTTTTACACAATTATATACTGATAAGTGTGCAATGAAAACTATATTATGTACAAGTTTTTTATTATTATTTTGTTTATACAGTTAGGAGGTATTTTGATTCAACTATTCCTAATTATTTATATCTTATATACGATTACAGGCCCAACTAGTGAAAGACCCAATGATTATTACTTCTGGGAGAAGAAAATACAATCATCCCACGTATCTTGATAATCTCGTGACCTTTTTGATCAAATGCTTAGTCAATTGTAGCCACGCGATATCAACCACTTAGAATTCTATTATTCTTTTAATATCCAATGGTTAAAGGACAGGTACGTAGTTATAATTACACCTACAGGATATAGCTTGTGCCCACTAATAAGAATAAACATTGCCACACCAAGGCGGCATAACTAGGTCGCTCATCAATTATATATACAATCGAGATATAATCATTTTCCCATTTAGACTTAACAATTTTAAATATCTCCTGACTTAAGGGTCTGTTTTGCGCGATGTATAAAGCCTGATAATATAAACTTATACTATACATATGACATTTTTAATTATTTGGTTTGACTTTGTATAGTATTAGCTTACACAACATAATCTCTTAATACATCAAAATAATGTATAACTTAATCAGGCCTAAGAGAGTGAGATTAGCCTAATAAGGGATTGATGTATTTAATCGTTGACCAATGCAATTCTCAAAAACTAATATATTAAAATAAAAAATAATTTTTCAATATATTTATTTTTAAAATATTGGAGATTTTTATTTTATAAAAGTTAATATATTTTTTGGTCACACTAATCAATAGATTTTTATAAAAATTAATATCATATAACATATTGGGAAGAATTATATAAATTCTTTATTAAAGAGTGTTTTTTTCAAAAATGTTTATTTGTATCCTATATAGTATTATACTACATTACCAAATACTGGATGATGTTATCTTATACAATACATTATCTTATAAAATATCATGCCAAACATTAGATAGTATTAACATCTAATCAGATCTTATATTATCAGGCTTTATCCTATACTATGCAGCAAACATGCCCCAAGTGTCGAAGTGCCTTGTAAGTAGTTCCCTTAGTCTCCACAATCAATAAGAAAAACTAGAGTCAGACCAATCATCTCGTAACCCATCTTGCAACCCAGACATGCATCTCACAGAAGTTTATCCCGCAAAACTAATCCCAACCAAGATCCAAACATCCAGCAATTCAAGTTTAACCATGTGTGATCCAACCCAATAAATGACCAACTACTTATTGAAAGAGATAGTGTTTTGAGTAAGAGGTAAAGTGACACTAAGATCCGTTAAGGTTTAGAGCACAATTTTTTTTTCTTTAACCCAATAAATGATCGTGATTCAAGGTGATGATTTCATGGGTGGATATGAAGGGATCATCTGCTTTGTTAGGTGGGATAACTCTAGCGGGATGGTAACTCTAATGTTGTTAAAGTGTGATTTGGCTGGAATAGGAGTGGATAAGTATATGCAAGACACTTTGATATTCGAATTAGTATTTGATTAATGAGTTTAAGTATATTAGAAGAAGATGATCATACTTAAACTTTGAGCTTTTTTTTTCATAATATCGATATGACATGTTTATTGCCTTATTATGTCACCTTATTAATTTATCTTGCTTGTGAGATACTTCTTAATGAGCTAATGATATATAGACTTATCTGAAATATCGTGCTTGTCCTTTAGTCATGAGCTATTGAGGAGGCCTATGAGTTCTATACTCTTACAATCTTAGTTATTTATGTCTGGATTGCATTTATATGTTATAAATGCATTTTGTTATTGACTAAGTCTTTACCTTTGAGCTTTTGAATTGCTATTGCACTAAACCTTCCATGTCGTTTAATATAGGTCCAAATCAATTCATCAAACATTTTTCAATAAAATTATTATGGAATATATTTTTCTCCTGTTCGAAAATTCTTTGTCTCTTTGTTTTTTTTTTAAATAAAAACAATGGGCCCATAGTTATTATTTATGCCACATGAGAGAACAAGTTTGGAGACTTATATTTCCTAATTATTATATGCGTATGCAACTTTCTAAATAAAAAATTGATTTGACGTAACATTAAACAATTTTATTTTGCCATTGACATTATGCATTGAAGTTTTTTTTTTTTTATATATATATAATACTTTTTTAAATTATATTATCCAAAAGAATTTGTGTTAACGACTTTACTCTTATGCAAATATTTTATACCATTTTTAGTCAAATGTTATTAAGAATTTTCATACCAAATTGCAATGGGCATGTATGAATCTTTATTTAGCTAGACTTGGGCCAAGGCCCCTAGCCATTAGATATTAGTCTTTCATGTTGAGTAATGAAAAGCACTAAAGCGAATGCCCCTTCAAAATGAACCAGACAGTGTTGTGCGTGGTTGATTTGAGGCAATTTCTTCGTTTGCGACAGTAACATGATTTCCCCTAAATTACGGTTAGCAGTTTTGTCCAGACTGTACGGGGTGTTGACATATTGTCCAAGCACAGAATTTGTGTATTAAATAAGTCTCACATTGAGCCGTTCATTAGCTAAAATAAAATTGAGTAGCTGAGAAAAGTTATTCCCAACTTAAAATTCTTCATGAGTCGTGAGAAGTTCACACGGATCATTTCATAAGCGCCAAAACCAAGATGCCTACAGATTGAATTGTTGTTCATCAATCGGTTATTTTCAATCGTTCATGAGACAGACTGCCTCAACTTGTTTTTTAATAAAAGAAAAACTTCACGCATGATATAAACTTTAGAATCTGAAAAAAGGAGAAGAAACCGATGCCTTGGACGCGAATGCCGAATAGGAGTATAATAACGGAAACAAGTAAGACTTTTAATAATGTGACAATATATGATTGAAAAATAATTTAATAAAATTTTGTTATCGTATTTTACAATCCAACATAAAAATTTATTGGTTTTATGACATTTCAGGGAGTCAATGCTCAAATATTTCATTTTTGAATATTCAAAACTTATATTAAGTGGGGTAAGATTCTTTATACCAATTTAATATCAAATCTTAATCGTTAATTTTCGTGAATTTAACTGTTATAATTTATTAGGTTACATTTATCAATTAATTATAAATTTTTAATAAATTATAATTTATAATCATTTACTTTACGAAAATCAATTATTAAAATTTGATGTCAAACTTTTTAATTTGACACTAATAATTTAATTTCTCGGTGTAAATTATAAATAAAAATGCTCAAATTATAAATCTATTGTTGTTATTTATTTATTTTTCATACTTCTATTTTAATTTTTTGTCGTTTTTATAAATATTGTTAATTTTTTTTCTATTTTTTCATATAAGTATATTCTTTTATTCTGAGAAGAGTATAATAGGTCGATTAATTAAATTTTTTATAAACACATGTTAAAAATAGATTTGGATAAAAAAAAATTATAAGAAATAAGTAATAACAAAATAGAAGTAATTTTTTTTGAACTTTGCCTTTTCAAAAAAAATATGAATGGGTAAAAGAAAAACATCACTGTAAACATGTACGTCACCTTTATCCCCAAATTCGTTGGAAGTTGGGGGTTTGCAGTGAATGACTCATGTAATCGGTAAAAGAAGAAAAAGGAAAAGAAACGAATGGCTTGGAATCGTATTGGGGTATAATCAGGTGAGATGGGTGGTGAAAAGCGGAACAAGGTTGAGGGATTTTTCTTAGGCACTTTGATTCTGTGGTTAGGTTCTGTTGTGTTCCAGATTGGGTTCAACAAACGCACCGAGCTTCTCTATGTCATCGCCGGTTCCTTCTTCTATCAGATTTCTAACTGTTTTATCCGATTCTTCTTCTCCACAGACCCTCTCTTCGTTAACACCTCCGTTTCTCTTCTCCACTCTACAATCACCTCCGCTTCAGGTTCTCTTTTCTCCTTTTCTTTCACTTCATTTCTCTAATAGCGTGCACTAATCGTTTAAAATAATTTTTATTTTAATTATTATTATTATTTTATTTCTAGTAATCGTTTTACTATATCATTACCTATGACCGATGTGGCAAGGTCTTATGTATATTAGATGAAATTAAAAAATAATAAATAAAATAATATTATATGAACTATAGCTGAGTGATAGCAACTTCAGTAATTTAAGCCTGTGTTTGAATTTAAACCTAGTTCTTTATATTGAATTTTATGCCTCACCTTGTTGTGGTTGATGGCCAAAATGGTCAGTTCAGCCTCTTTCTCTTGTTAGTTAGTGGAGAAGAAAAACCACTCCCAGTTATTAGGGTGCGTGGTGCGGAGGAAATCCTTATAGGCAGTCTTATCTTTGTATAATTGTAAATAGACTGTTTCCTGGATTGGAATGACCTTTCAGTTATGAAAGAACAATTTTACCACTGCACCGGTTCACCTAATTTTGAAGCTATCATTCTCTCTAATTGCGATAAGTGGTGCTAGTACAGAACCAGTGCTGTCAAGGAATCATGCTTGGATAATCTCCTTTAATCAAGCAGTTTAGAAGTCTTGTTTTGTACTGGACTATGAATTTCTAAAATCCTGTCATTTTTAATATTTTTCTTGTTTTATCTTGTCATTGGAGTCTTGCTATTGTCTGTCTCTTGCAGTGATCTTCGTCTTGTTCAGACAGTGGTTAAGTAATGGGTCGAGTGGAATGTTTGATCACTCACAGTTGGTTGAAGGTACTTGGCCATGGGCATTTCAAGCACTGTGCTTTTCATGTGGTTACTTTGCATATGATCAGTGGGATATGCTTCATTACGGCTTATATAATGGTTGGATCCCTTCTATCCTTGTGCATCATCTGGTTCTCCTTATTTGCTTCACTCTTGCCTTGTATCGAAATGTCACCATCAACTACCTTATTCTCACTCTTATCTGTGAGGTAAGTGTCACTTACTTTGAAAGTGTTCCTTTTTGTGTGTATGTGTTCCATCTAATAACGTTTTTGCTTAAGCAAACTAGAATTTTGGCACTATGGTTCCCCACACCTTTTTCTAATGTGTATTTGTGTGTTTGTGTTGTTAAGCCGTATTGCATAATGACTAGCAGTTATTATTTATACTAAGGAGGACTTTTCTGTGATTGTACAGCTGCATTCCATCTTTCTGCATGTGAGAAAAGTGAGACGAATGGCCGGTTTTCGCAATGCAAAGGGCATTATTGTTAAGTTGGAATGGTTTCTTAATTGGGTCACCTTCTTTGTGGCAAGGTGTGCATCTCACATTCTCATCACAGCCAAGCTCATCAGGGATGCTGACAAATTTGGAAAGGGTATTGAGCTACCACTGGCTCTGGTTGGCATGGCTGGGATGAATTTGCTGAACATTGGTCTTGGCATTGATCTCTTCAAAGCTTTTAAGAGAGAGAGGAAGCCCCAGCAGGCTAATCCTCATCAACATCGTGAATGATAGAAGAGAATAGCATAATAATACTCTGTAGTTATCGTCTTTATTGTACTACCACAAAGTTGTCCCTCCCCCTTCACCAAAAAAAAAAAAAAAAAAGACTCAAAATGCATGGGGAATGATGTGTATTTGGTCCGGTTTCTTGTTTTTTAAAAATACAACACAGATTATTTATAATCTCCGCTCCCCCAATTATTTTAAAGCATCAAGAGCAAGCATGTAACAGATTAATTTAGTCATTTTCCAAGTTCTCCTTGATTATTCCAAACTGAAATGTAATGAGAATTCATTCTTATGTAATAAATAAGGTGTATTTGGATGAGCTTCGAAAAAATGTTTTTTTTATGATATAATTTTTTGAAGTTATTCTTTTTTTTTTTTTTTTTTTTTGATAACAATATTTTTTATTTTTAAGATAAACACTAAAATGCTTTTTTAAGGTTTTAAATTTTTATTTTTGAAAAATTATCTAATTGTTATAATTTTTTTAAAATGTTTTTAATATTATTATTTTTTAAATAAGGGCCCAAATAAATAGGCTATGAGAATTTATTTTCTTGAGATTATCTCAGTTCTGACCTTTTTTTAAATATTTTTTAAAATACAACACAGATTGTTTATAATCTATGATCTCCCAATTAATTTTGCAATATAGTTTTTAAGTTATTTTTAGAAGTTATTATTTTTAATTTATGAAAAAGTACTAAAATAGTTTTATCTTTTTTAGGTTTTTGAATTGTCAAAAAAATTATTTAATTATTATACAATTTATAAAGGCTTTAATATTTTTACAGTAAATGTAGATAAGTTATCTACATTCGCTCCCAAAACGATGTTGTTTTGGGTTGAAAAATTAAAAAATTATAATGAAAAAGACTATTACAATCCTAAAATAAATTATAATTATAAAAATACCTTAATTTTTGCCTCAAAATAATATCGTTTTGGGCTCAATATAGATAAGTTATCTACGTTGACTTTAGAAGAATCGAACTCATTTATAAAACATATATTTTGATTAGAAACTTGTTTTTTCTTTTAAAAAAAGCACAAAGAAATGAACTTTTAAGTATTTCGCAGTGGATCCTCTCTATATTATAACGGTGATGTTAAATAACATAGCAGTCTTGACTCTTGGCTCTCTTGGAAACTTTACTCAGACAATAAGTTTTAAAAAGATCGGTGATTTGCCTTTCATTGAGGGGTGGTGGCGCAGTTGGCTAGCGCGTAGGTCTCATAGCTTCCGAGTTATCCTGAGGTCGAGAGTTCGAGCCTCTCTCACCCCAAAATGATGTTTTTAAACGTAGATGGTTCATACATTCGTTGGACACACTAATAAAGGAAAATATAAGTGGCATTGAACTAAAATGCCTTGACAATACTGGTAGATCAGAGATACATATCAAAGATATGAAAAATTTGAGCGTTAGTTCAACACAAACATAGTAAGTTCGCTATTTCCTCACTAAATTTCTAGCGGGATCCCACTCTCAGTTTGAGAGAGAAATTTTGCAAAGCCCTTTTCACTCTTGTCAGAACTGACATGATTTGGCAAATTGATTGATGAAGGTGGTGAGCTTTTTTCGTTTTTGTTTAAGGGTGGAACAGAGCTCCCATCAGCCGACCTTGAAGAACTGGAATCACTTTTAGGTGAAAATGTGTCAGTTGAATGCAACTTCCACATCTCTCCACCTACTCTAGCAATGAGTGATGGACTTGCACAGAACTCTGGAATGCTCACAGTGTCAATCAGAAAATCTTCTAGTGTTGCTAGGGAACTTAATTGATTCCCCAAAGATACTACTGTTTTCTGGCACTCAACAAGCTTTCCTGCAGCTAGTGCTAGGTCCTCCTGGCATAGAAGATGTTACATGCATTAAATGATTTGTGCAGAAAACGTGTAAATTATCCCTAACTGTTAGTTGGAGATGTAAGTTTTTACGAGAAATAGTTGATTGCAAGGTATAAACTATTCATGTATCATTCAAGCCTTAAGCCTAAAAAATTCTTGCGTGATAGAGGAAACATGATAGAGATATAATGTAAAATTGTTGATGTATTTTTGCTTGTCATTTTAAGTTTTGGGAGAATTAGTTCATGAAAGTTAGAACATTTAATACAGATGTCAATGATGATCAACCTGCTTTATCTTCATGTCATTGTATGAGCTAGCTATTGACCCGAGTTTCTCTTCCTGCTTCTTGCTTCCTAGCTCTTCCTCCAATTTCTTACACTTGAATGCAATTTCAACTGTCATAGCCCTTTCCTTATCAACCTCTGCTTCTAATAAGTGAACTTTTGCGGTTATTGATTGAGCCTCGGCCTCCATGCTCATTAGTTCATTTTCTAACATTTGCTTTGATTTGTAGGCCTTTTCTACCTCTCTTTGCAACTCCTCCAATTTCGTTTCTGCCTCCTTCATTTGAAGTTGTGATGCCTCAATGCACTTCTCACTTTTCATCAAAGCTATCTCCAGTTCAGCTTTCTCTGATTTAGCCTTATCTAACTTCTCTTTTAATTCGTCCATTTGCTGATTCATAATGTCAAAGTCATCTCTGAGGGTTCTGTCTGCACTAATGCATTCGTTGACAAAACTTGAGTCATGGATAAAGCTTCCATTTTTAGTCTCGGGCAATGCAGCAAGTCGTTCCATTTCAAGAAAATCATCCATGAGATCAATTTTAACAGAACTGGATGGAATTTGTCTACATTTTTCATTCTTGAACTGATCAAGCTCAGCAATTAGTGCAGATGCCCATGAGTCAGAACAACTTGGTTCACACTTGTCTGGTTCTGAGTCACTCTTCCTGCGGCTATCAATATCCACTGCAGTAAGCTTCTCTCCACTGTCTGATTGACTATCAGTGAGAGATTCAACACAAAATGAGGACGATGTAATGGATTTATTATCATTAAGTAAGGAAGCTCTACAAGCCATGCTTTTCAATCTCCTGCACTCAGCCTCAAGCTTGGCTACTTTGTTGATGCTTTTCAAATGTTGCTTACTGGCCGTCTCAGCTGCTTGGGTGCTTAAATCTCTCTCTATTGTCCTGATTTCCAACTCTTCTGATTGAGCTTGGAGCTCATGCTTGAGAACCATGTTCTCTTTCTCCAAATATTGGACCTTATGGTAAATATCAAAATCAATTGATAAAGGAGATCTATTATTAGAAGCATCTAATTTGCTCTGGAGTTCAATGAGCTGATTCTCAAGTTTAATTTTGGCTGATTCCAACTCGTGCGTTTTCTTTAGCACAACATCATGAATATTTAGCTCTTGCTCTTCTCTGGTTTGTCTTAGCTGCTTAACACACTCCTTAAGTGCACCGTCTAGATGGGTCACTCGATCTTCCAGTGCTGAATTTCTGAGAGACAGTGCCTCAAGTTGCTTCTTTAAACGTGCCACTTCATTTTCAGCCTTTTCCCAGCCTAAAAGTTATGGAAATGGTCCAATCAAGAGAAAATCTAAAAGTGGAAGAAAGTGAAAAATATATACTCAAGAATCATACAAGGTGGCAACTATTATGCAAGGGTCAGTGTGTAATCCTTCAGATAGATCACTTATAAGCCGCTGAACATATATACTAATGACATAACTCATGCAATTTCTCTAAAAATTTATATAAAAACTCACCAAACACTCCTTTCGTTGATGACAACATTAACCAAGCATATTCAAGGAAGAGTGAAGAGGTGATCAACCAATAGAGTATAACCCGTGGTTATTGCAAAATATGTACGAAGCAATAATGGAAAATATGTATTGATCATTGAAAACATAATATGTACCTGCAATGGCTTCTTCAGCGACTTTGGCATGTTGCTTAACCAAGTCTTCTTTGGCACTGACATTCACAAGCGCTGCAGATAGCTTTTCTGACATATTCCTCAATCCATCAGTTACATCTCCATCCTTTATTATATTATCTTTTGCTCCATTTGCATCTTCATCCAATAAACCATCATTTACATTGTCTGTTGTATGTGAGGTGACTTCGGGTGATTGTGCATTGATAAATGACATATCGTTAACATCTTCAGCAATTGCCACAGCTTTCGAGGTGAGATCAGGTAACTGATTGTGTCCAATAGGAGATTCATTCAATGCCTCATGCTGCAGAGACAAGAAAAACTAGACTTATCATAAACTAAAAGATGAAACTACCAGGATAACAAATCAACTTCCATGACAAGAACGGCTAATAATATATGGTATTTATCCTTGAATTAAACTAATGCTGCCCGTGCAAATGAGAACCCTCATCCAAGTCTAGATCTCCTCCTCACAAGAAACAAAAAATAAAAAAAATATGCAAATCCTAGGGAGAAATATCTGTGGAACCTGGTTCTATTGGATGAACTCATATAATTCATGAAACTCGTTCAGTCTTGTAGCTCTTATATTTCAGGAAATTTATTCATGTTACAAGAATAACAATGTAGCTCTTATCTTTCAGGAAATGTGCCAGGATTCTAGAGGTGTTACTTTTTGTTTCAGTTTGCTATCATGACATTGGACAGCTTACCTGTTCATCAGAGTGCCTCTCAGAATGAGACGATGCAGACTCTGAACTTTCAGTTTCACCAGGGCTCTTCTCAGAAGATTTCCGCTTCCATAACCATCTTTTTTTCTCCATCATCAGGTCTAATAACCTCACATCAACTTCAAAAGCTCAGGGAGTTCATCTGCAGACATTACCTAATTGTTCAGGCCATAGGTAATGAAACAGTAACTGTTAATCAATGTAAAATATGCGTGACTCATTTCAGCGATAGAACACAAAATGTCCCCAACATTCCCAAAAATCTAAAAAAGGAAGAAAAAAGTTACTTCTTATATAGCAAAACTACATATCTCTATGAACTTCTTCTAAACAGAAAAGAAAAATGCAGAGAAAAAAAAAAGGATCGAATACCTTTGACTTGGTAAACAACCTACTGAATAACTGGAAGCGAATAAATGAAGAAAAATTGGAAGCAATGAATGAGTTCAGAGTATAGACTCAAAGTTTAAGACTATAAAATGAAAAGCAAACAAAGGTAGAAAATGACAATAATAAAACAAAACATAAATAGTAGTAATAAAAAGACCCGGCAAAAAATCTGTAGAGTGCCAGTTAGCATCCACATTAACATAACTACTGACAAATAAAACAAGTGGCAGGTTATGGAGGTTTCTATTTCTTGTATTTTTTGTTGCCTTTTTTTCTTTTCTTTTTTCAAATATAAAAATAGATGGCCATGTGACTGTACATGTTGAGTTGTGGAATTCAAGGGTCAAGGGTCTTGTGTGCTAATGAGTAATGACCACGATCACTTTTTTCAGCTTTTTGAGAAAAAAATTAATTTTGAATCTTATTTGATAGTTTGAAAATGAGCTTCTCTTTATTCCCGCCATGGATGGGGACATTGTATGCGCCACGCATAAATGCCGGTCACCGTCCAGTTTCATTTGTCTATATTCTAAAATCAACATGCTCTGCATTATTTCATTTAACCTAGTTATTCTTTTTTTAAACATATCATAATTTATTCTAGTTTCAAAATTATTTACCAATCTATCATGATCAGAGTTTATTATCATTTATTATGTGAAACTCATAAACATAGTATGTGTCAATTATATAATAATACGTGTCATATTTGTGGGATTCATATGGTCAAAAATAATTAATTTTTCTACTCAAAATAGAGTATATTCGTAAATAATTTTAAAAATAATATAGATTAATAAATAATGTTTAAAATTAAGATAAATTAATTGAGAGATATGAATAAAACACAAGTTTACGTGATAAATTTTATGGGTTCATGCGCAAAGGACGCAAAGTCTTTTGCAAGTAATCCAGTCAATGTTCAAGAAAAAAAAAAAAAGCGTTGATGTTTGTTATTTAAAAAAATATAAAATTGTGTCATTTTAAATAAAATAAAAATACAAGCAATAAAAATAATAGGGGAATAAAGTGAATATTTTTAAATTAAATTTAAAAATATATTAATTTGTGTCTTTCTTTTATTTAAAATGATACAACTCTATATAATATAAAAGAACAAATATTTTCCGCAAAGAAAAAAAGGAAAAAGAAAAAAAAAAGGTATCTAAGGCAAATAAAAAAAAGCATATACAATTTTCTGTTCACATTTTTGTATGTAATTTTCTCTGTATATCGTGATATTGTTAAAGAGTTTGTTTTTTCTAAAGTTACTTTAGATAACTTTATCTAATGTTCATCGAAACGATGTCGTTTTGGGACGGAAATCATGGTATTTTTGTAATTTTAATTTATTTCAGGGTTATAATAGTCTTTATCATTCTAATTTTTAATTTTTCAACCTCAAAACAACATCGTTTTGATGAACATTAGACAAAATTATCTAAAGTAACATCGGAAACTTTTTTCCCATTGTTAAAAGTTCCAGATACGTTCAGCAACTACCGTCCATTTCCTTTATTTTTTACTGTATTGTAAGAAGGTCTTGTTACGACATAGTTTCTTTCTGCCTTGTTTCCTTGCTTTCATGTCCTTTATTTTCAAGCTCCTTTGCAAAAATTTACATTGATAGCAACCACATTTTCCCTTAAATTTTTTTTTCAGATGATCATTCATAAGTTTACGTTAATAGTAATCTCTCTCCTTTTTTATTATTCTTAACTTTTCGGTTTTGTAAATTTGAATTTTTTTTTTTCTTATTTCCAAGAATGGATCGCACTTGGACATGAAAAATAAAATAATTAAAAAGAAGTTTGCACTGTTACATGTTGGTTGTGGGCCAACATATTACCTTGAAAAGGCATAAACTTATAATGCTTTTGTAATTTTTTTTAAAGTCCCTAATTTTTCCCTTCACTGCAGCAATTATTTATAATTATATCTTATTAGTAAAATATAATAATAATATTAAAATTATATTTTTTTCTCTCCATCATGTTAGTTAGCTGACGGTCTACTGAGGAAAGAGAAAAAAATAGCTTTTAAAATTATAATTATATCTTATTGATAAGATATAATTATAATTGGTTGCTGCAAATTTTTATTTTTTTGGGAAAGTATATTTCTCTTTTTTTCTCGGAACTTTCTCTTTTCATATTCTTTTTATTAATTCTCTGCTAAGGTTTAGGAGAGACTCTACTATTCTTTTTTTTCTTTTTTTTCTTTTTTTTTGATAGACGAGAGACTCTACTATTCAAGTAGTGTCTAAGGAAACTTTGTTAAAAAACTTAAACAGAGGAAGAGAAAGAAAAATAAAAAACAAATTACATTAAATGCTTGTATGACAGTTTTTTTTTAAGCTTCTCATTTTTTTTGGGTATCCTAGCTTCTCATTTTCTTATAAGCAGAATCTATATCGAATAAGCTTACCAAAAAAAAAAATCTATATCGAATAAGTTTTTATAAAAGCTCTCATAATAAATAAAAAATTATAATGAAAAAAAAAGTAAAAAGTTCCCAGCAGAATTTTTTTTTTAAGTTGTATCAGCTTATTTTTAATTTGAGTTTTAAAATAAATTTTAAGTTAAAAATTTAATATAACCATCAAACAGTTTTTAATTTTATTTTTAATTTTTTTAATTTTAACTTAAAAATAATTTTAGCTTAAAAAAAAGTACCAACTAGACTAGTGTTGAACTCTTATTAAAAACTAGCGAGCTTTTCAAAAAATAAAGAAATAAATAAAATAAAACCCAGCGAGCAAACTTGTAAACCAAATAAATTATGGGGAAAACACTTCTCCTATTGTTGCTGCAGAAGTGTTCTTCTTCTGTCGGTCAGTTCGATTTCCGCAACAAAATTTGTTTCTTTTTTATTTTTTTAATTATTGATGGGGCCCACCATTTCTGTGTCACTGGCCGAAGAGGAACTCATGTTGTCACTGCAGAAGTTTAAAGCCCATAAAATATACTGATTTAACGGATTCATAAAATTTTGTTTCTTAATAGGTAACCCCCATGGTTTTTTTTCCGTATTAGTATGACCTATGAAGCACCGACACTTCAAAATTCTTGACATGTCATGTCCGACACTCACTGACACTCTGACACTTCCTGACACTTTAATACTCGGTGCAAAGATTCAAAAGTTATGTTGTGTTGCATTTTGAGTTCAAATTATTAGATTCGTTAGATTACGGTTACTATTTTATTGAGTTTAATATAAACATTTGAGATATCTTATGTTTCTTTGAAAAATTGATGAGTATTATAAGTTTAGCTTTTTTTTTATTAAATTATTGAATATTAAATATAATATACACTACATAAACTAAAAATATTATATAATATCAAAACGTGTCTTAACATGTCAAAATTTAATATCAAATCAACATGTCAGAGTGTCGTGTCGTATCCCGTGTGTCAGTGTTCGTGCAATATAGACTATGACTCCATTTATGTGTTTAACTTTATATGAATTATATCTCGGAACAAAGAAATAAGTTTACCCACTAAATAGTACCCATTGCCTATTTCCATGTTGATTTGATAGAACTAATGGCATTGAGCTTTTATAAAAGTATATATACTTTCATGCGATTCGTTTTTTCTTCTATTTTTTTTTTCGTTAATTCGCTTGCCTTTTAAGTTTCAACTAAGGTCTAAGGAAGCTTTGAAGAACGTCAGAAAGCACGTATACCCTCTCCATGGGAACTTTATTGCAAGAGTTATCTGTTTTTTTTCATTATTTATATGAAAATAATTGTTCCGTGCCTATAATACAGGAGATTATGAGAGTTTATCTATTATAAGATAAATTCTTCTATAAATAAAGAATTGAATCTTAAGATAATGCCTCTGAAACTTAAGACAAAATTTCTTAGTTATTGTGAAATGGAAATCATATAATTGTTCAACTTTGTCGTTGGATGAGTTAAGACTTGCTTAATTACAAAATCAGCAATTACGTGTAGTTGAAACCCAAATATGGCTCATATATATTCTAAGATTGAGAATTTATTCATTTGCCCGTAGTGGGACATATTATAGCAATTAGAGGTGACAAAGTGGGCGGCCCGTTCTGCCCCGTCATCAATTTGTCAAAAAATGAGTCTTGTCCCGTCCCGCTTTTGAAAGTGAGCTAAAAAACTCAGCCCGCCCCGCCCCATTTGGCGGGTTGGGCGGGTTGACTTGTCAGCCCGAGTCTATTTTACATTGACCCGTCTCGGTCCGTTTATGCCCGCCATCAACCTGCCAAAAGATGAGCCCGCCCCGCTCCGTCCCGTTTTTGAGATGGGTTGAAAAACTCAGCCCGTCTCCTATTTGGCGGTTGGATGAATTGGCCCGCCGAGCCGAGCCCATTTTGCCGGCTCTAATAGCAATGGTATATGAAGCATACAGTTGCAATGGTGATAAACTGATGATCATGCTAACCCGTGCCCGTGACTTACAGTATGGTCAGATGTCAGAAATTGTATCTCGCTTCGTCGCTTTTGTTGTAAGTGTTCCGCCATATTGGTCCGTAAATTGGCGTCTAACTCAAATAGTGATATCTAGATGACTCTCTACTACCACAACTTTTTTTAATAGTGTTGTACATTAAAAAGATCCACAAATTAAAGGCCGTGCGTGACCCATTTGTGTACGAGTGGAGGCTAGCTGGAGAGTTTCCTCTGTGGGTTTGTTCACAATCATATCATACGAAAT